CGCTGGGCCCAAAGGAAGCGCCAGCCTCCATACTGATGATAATGATGATGACGATGATGATGATGATGATGATGATGATGATAATGATGAAGATGACGATGATGATGATGATGATGATGATGATGATACTGGTGATGATGAAAAGCCGCCGATGATGATGATGATGATGATGATGATGACCGCGATGATAAAACCGAAGATGGTGATGATGAATGAAAATTACCGCCGTTATCCCCACATTATGAAAAATGTCGATGATGATAATGGTGAAGATTACCGTCGTTGGCAACGCAGTACGAGTGAAGGCCGACGACAAATCCACCAGGATACTGAAACTGAAAGCTGGCCAGAATCGAAGAGAACGTCCCACCCCAAGAAGCAAGGTATCCTCAGTCACACAGAGGTTTCCAATGCCTGAAGGTTCGCGCCACGAAGCAGAAGCACCAACCCCCCTTCTCTACCTGCGCCAGCCTGTGACGCCAGGAGATCAGCACGAAACAGAACAGAAGACCATCGCCTCTCCCTCCTCTTTGTCAACTAGAGACGCCACCATCCCCCTTGTAGAGTAGCAGCGCTCAACGTCCATGTTTCTGTGATGTCACCTCCCTCATTTTCCGCAGCCGTGCACTAACGCTGCTCCACCCAGCAGCGCACCGCCCACTAGCAGCATTCCACCTGGCAGCGCACCGCCCGCTAGCGGCACTCCGCCTGGCAGCGCACCGCCCGCTAGCAGCGCTCCACCTGGCACACGCATCAGTACGCTACCACGTCGCCCGCTCGCCGTTCCTCCATAGCTTGCTTGGCGCCGGCGCTGCTCCCCCGGTAACACAGCGCCGGCGCCCATTTTGAGGCTCATTCCCCTAAGACCCTTATCTGACTTCCCTGATCCCTTTCCCCTACCAGGATCCTGTTTGGTCCCCTCATCATGGTATGGGTAATCCTGTCAAAGTATTTTGGTCTGTGCTTGGTAGTCACGAGTTTCTGGCGCCCAGGATGGGTGAAGAGGCACAAAGGTTTTAGTCTCAGTTTTCTTATCGGGTCCATTCTTCAGATCTCTTGTGGGACGCTGCACCCGGTTTGCAGCCATGACTCATTTGTTATGATTGTATCAAAAGGGATGCTGGACCCGCTTTCCAGCAGGTGCAGCTCCCCACCAATAGATTGGAGCCCCTGTAAGATAGGTAGAAGTGAATGCTCATACCATCACTTCTAACTGTCAAGAAGGGGTTTAAAAAAAAAAAAAAAAAAAAAAAAAGCCCAAGATCTGTCCAAACTCCAGACTGAGGGCTATCCACCCAAATGTGCTGTGATGTTTCCCAGGCGCATCCACATCTAGCACATTCTAGTGACCTGACGGGACAGTGGTTATAGGCATCAGGGCTAAGCAGGTCCTCACCTCCCTCCCCAGCCCTGATCGAAGCATAGACGGATGAGCCCTGTCGCATGGTTACTTCGAGCGCTAGACGTAGACATTCTACTGCAATCCCCATAGGTGAACCCGTTTTTTCCTTATTAAAGAGATCCTAGCATTATCATCATCAGATCCCTCTGGTGATTATCTTGAATTTTATGTTCTTGAACCCTTTCCTATCGGAGGTTGCTCTTACCTAGAGCATCTCCAGTTTCTGTCCTCAACAGGCTCACAGTCACCATCCACTCCCCTTACCTCTATCATCAACTGGGTGTTGAGTCATTTTTTTTCTCATTCCCCGGAGTATCTCTAGTTTCTGTCCTCAGTGGGTTGACAACCACCATCCGCTCCCCCGGAGCCTCAACTAGCAAGATATCCTCCACCGGAGCCTACCCCACCTCTACTCCTACCAATGGAACCCCTGAGACATCCCCTAGTGCAGGTTCCCCACTGATATCCTCCAATTGGGTCTTGTCCTACCTACCCTCCCCTCAGGGAAGTCCCCGATTGAATCCCACCCGTAGCCCATGCCCCCCCAAAGCAGAGCCCTAAGGTAACCAGTTCCTTTTTTTTTTTAAGCCCTTGTGCAAACCCTTTATCTGTTGCATACTGTAACGGTGCAGACCAGAACAAGAACCGACCTCTCTCACAAAGTACAAGATAGCCTAGCGGAAGACTTAAATATCAATGATCCGAACAATCAATATTGCAATGCAGCCCCGAACATACATCATCATCATCACTCCATGGTGTGAAGGGGCCAAGCGCTCACACAGGAAGAATGCGCCAGTCCCCAACCATACACAGACGAAGAAGAGGGGGGGGTTAGACGAAGAAGAGGGGAAGATGGGAATGTCGTCAACACCAAGTCTTCGGCACAGGCCCAAATAGTCGCTCGTCAAAATGTATGAATCCCAATGTCGAGTCTGGATCCAATGTCGTCAAGTCTCAAGTCACAACTCTCTCTCTCTGTCATAGTCTGCTGATACTGAGAAGTCAGGTAGTGAGAGGGTGAAGAAGAGATGGTGGACATAGAAGAGGAAGAAGAAGAACTCTCTCTCTCTCTCTCTCTCTCTCTCTCTCTCTCTC